AAAAAAAAAATCAGCCCTAAGTCCAGGTGTGAAATTTGAGTAGCTGACTATTACAGAATCAATCCCTTGAAATTAAGGTACATCTACACATTGAAATGGGAAGCAATTACATTCATCAACATGACAGTTCTATTTTACTTGCTTGAATTTCTGAAATGTCATTTTTAAAGACTAGGTTAGAGTTTCAGAGAAAACTGCAAGCACTGCTGGCCTCATTTTCCTTGTTATTCTGAGTCAGTAAGCTAGTGACCAAGAGGCCCAGAGACTGGGACTAGAGCTCCTTAAATTTACTAGTTGTAGATTTACTGAATGAAAATCGAGACAGATGGACATTCTATGACATGTCTGACTATCAATGTTCTTTTCTAACTCTCTGAAATATCAAATGCAAACCAAATACAATTACAACAACCTTCGGCACAGCAGCAATGACGTATCCATTAAAGCTCTGATTTAAAAGAAAAAAAAATATGACCACGTTTCAATAGTAAAGACACACAGCAAGGACACCTGTTCATCGGTTCTGAGCCATAGGAACCCAAAACTTTACAAACTTCTGCTAATGCCCTCAAGCTGGACATTCACTTGTGTTGGTAGCTGCTGGACTCAGCCCCATTTTTTCAGGATAAACAAAAGATGAATCTTCCCTAAGTTACGTGAAGCATAAATGACAGTAGAAGTGAGACTAAGCACTTAACTGGAAAAGGAAATCCAATCTTAGTGATTTTGGAGCAGAGACACCAAGCAAATGCTCAGCCTAGAGAAGTATGAAGAAATGAATCAAGGGCTCAGAGCCTTCCCCCTCCTTTTGTTTCTTGCAGCTTATTCTCCAAGAAGTGCAAGTCTCTTGGAAGGAAACATCCACAGACAGAACAAGATGCTTTCATGCATCTTTATTGCATTCTCATTCACCTCTGGCACGAAGAGAGACAAAAGCAACCCAGGTTACGATGCCCCAAAGAACCGAAGAAGTCAAGTCTTCAGGTGGCCATTGCTATAGCACCCAGCTGATATTTAAAAATGAAGGGCTGGAGGCTGATGCAGGAGCTACCCCATCATCTAAGCTGAGGCAGCAGAGGCACTGAAGAGAAAGGGAAAGCCTATTTTTTTTTTCCCCTCCTCACTCAAGCATACAATCCTACCTAAGAAAGTGGCCGGTGCAACCAGGAGGGAGAGTCGATGAAGATTTGGCACATGCCACAGCCAATATTTCAGCAGGTTTAAGCTTTGTGCTACATTAGACAAGCAGCAAGACAAAACTTTGCTTTCAAATCCCATTCTTCCAGTGCCTTCAAGCCTTCCTTCTAAGCACATCTGTATTAAAGGGATTTGGAAATCTCCTTTCTGCAAAAGACCCCCAGTCAAATCCCAAGTATGCTGCCAGTAGATGCTCTCACTTCGCTCTCAGAAGCTGGTGAAGGACACTCTGCAGGACCAAGGACAGGGAGGAATCCACATCTCCAGCCAAACTATCCACCCTCCAGAGCCAGGTGCCAAGGAAAACAGGGGCAATGGAATAAATTTGACCTCTCCTCCTTTCACTCTTCCTCCACAAGAGGCAAAGGGATACAGAAGAAGAGAGCAAAGCTCACCATAAAAATCTCAAGCACCTCAAATTTCCCCCTCTGGGGCACTCCAGGCACTACATTTGTATCTATTCCTCTGTACTGGATCAGAAAACACACACTAAAGAAAGGAGAAACTTTAAGGGGTTTCAGGAAACTTGTAGCTGAGTCCTGGCAGAATTTCCTTCTTCGTTCAAACCAATCTTAATATAAAAAATAAAATCAGGAAACTCCTACAGTTCAACTGAGTCTTAAAGAGTAATAATGTTGATGCATTTTGAGCCTACTTGACAAGATCTGGATGAACTTCCATACATTTTTATTTTTTTTTAAGAAAGCAAAAGTCCATAAACAAAGGTTGCAGTCATTAAGAGGAGATCATATGCAAATGTGTTAATTCTAACTTAAAAGGAAAATTACAGGTGTTCTTTGGCACAGGATAATCCGATTGTTCCGCTTCAGATTGTCCTGCTGGAAGATACCTATTACAAGCCATCTGTCTCAGTAAAGCCCTGGACTAAAAGTTTAGAACTCTTGTCCTTGATCTACATGTGTTCTATAAAATGCACAAGACTTATCACAATCCACAGCAGACCTAGAGTCGACAAGCCCCTAACCTGGAGTGAGAAGGAAAATAAAAAAAAAAAAAAGAGGGAAAGATGATTCCTTTATTTCCTCTCCCAAATCACAATGGTTAAGGATAATTTAACGGCCAGATTTGTGCAGCATGTGAAGACGACCAAGCCCACAACAGTCCAACTGACAAAACATTTGCCGGACCTACAAAAGCCGTCTTATTTATCACCCTGCCCTTAATCGGTTTATCTGTCTAAACCAAAACCCCAGGATACTTCTCAGATTGAGGATTTAGAGACTCCCGCCACTCAAAAGAAAAAAAGAAAGGCATCTTTGCAATTCAGAGCTCTTTGATGATGCACGTGTGGTTGTCTGGGGTGCAGATACTTGGATAGCTCAAATCCCCAATGTTCTGATACACTGCTGCTTTGAGATGGTCCAGGAATTTTACATTCCTGATCACCTTCGGTCTCAGTGGTTTATGGCAGATGCTTTATGCTCCATCTGGTTTTCATTACATGCAGATCCTTAAAGAATTCATCCTAATTTCTGGTTTCTGGGAAGAAATGGCACATGCTAATATATATATAGATAGACAGATAGATAGATAGATAGATGTATACACACACACACACATATACTTCACATTTGGAATGCAGTAGTTCTTGAGTTTCACTTGGCTCATCTTCACATCACTCTCCAGAAATTGTATAACACAGTGACATTTTTTAATATATACTTGCATTTTCGACCAAAACCCATTTTCTCTGGAATATTTCTAATGCTGGATTCTCCCTATCACAGTATTTCATCACCCGGGGCAGATGCACGCAAGGGAACAATTCTTTCAAGCGAGTCAATCCCAGCACCTTGTTCAGGCCAAGCCTGATCTGCTGTGTAGAACAGTTCATGGAAGTTTGCGGATCTGGCTAGAGCTGACAGCCCTGGGGCTGAGGAGCAGCAAGCTCACGTTAACCTGGATGCATGCAGAGCCAGAACACTGACCCTGAAACGGATTTACAAATCTGCTGACAGCCAAAGCTGGCTGCAAGTCCATCGTATGACGCTTTTGTGCCTGTGAACCTGCTGTGCTCAGGGCATTGACAGCCAGAGCAGACACTGCTCTGTCTTGAGATGCACATGGGTCACCACAAGCACGTCTGCAGCATTTCCCTTTGGAAGTGGTTCAATATTCCTTTTTAATGAAAAGTTAAACTTTGACAGCCTGACAAAGCAGAAGCCATAGAGATGAAGTGTCCCAAACCCACTCTAGAGGTATCCAGATTAGGAGCTTAAGTGCCCTGCCAGATCTGGTGCCAATGACACACGTGCCAAGAAATACTTCTATTTTATCAGACTCCTTGCTGCTACTCTGAAAATAATTTCTTGTCCCCTTCCTCCCCAACAAACTCTTCAAATCCCTCGAGAATATAGCATTAGCTTGACTTCACACAGAGCTTGCCCTTCTACCACCCCAAGCCTCCTGAAAATAGTTGCATCTCAGCAGCTATAAAGCATCTGGAGAAAGCACCCAGCACTCAGCCACTGTGCTAAGCCAGCACCTCATCCCATTTTATTCTTCCCAGCAGAGAGGATACCATTAACTGCAAAACACATCGTGATGAATGAAGCATTTCTAGTCAACAAAGCTGGATCTCTGTGGGAAGCAACTACTTGGCAACTCTCCCAGATACCTGGCATCTCCCTCAGCTGAGCTGCCAGCAGCTGACTGCTATCGTCTTTTGCTGGTAGTGACCATCCTTGTTGAAGTGTAGCAGAGGGCACACATCCATCCCCTGTCCAGGCTTGCTCTCAAGCTCAAACTGCTTTGCAAGGTGGCTTTGCACTAAAATACCTGCCTCCAAAATGGGGCTCGGATATCTGATGCCAACTCCAAGGCAGATAGCCCTCAAGAGAGGTGCAGTGGGGAGGGCTGGGGCACTGTGGCTGAAGCTAAGGAGGATTTAACAGCAGGACAGTGGGTGATAGAGCCCCGAGGTTCTCCTTGCCTACACTCTTTATTTTATGCAAACTTTCTAGGTTTGATACTTGAATATATTCACCAACTCCTCACTAAGCAGCAAGAAACTGAATATGTTTTGATGTCAGGCTGAGCCTCTGTAATCGTGGTTTGCCCCGAAGACTTATTTTTGCCTTTAAGAATCTCTGAAAGCGAACATTTGAAAGTGAAAAGGGAGAAAGTGACTCTTAAAACCAAGAAGGGCATTGTGGGAGCTATATAAAGCCTGAAACCTGAGGCTCAGTATAACACCATATCACTACTCCTATGATCTGGCTACAGCAGACAAGCTATATCCTGTTTTTAAAAGCGCCAAGCTGAAGTTATTGCAGCTCAGATTTTGTTGAAGCATTCTCAGCTCCCACTGCATCACCACAATTGCTACTGATGCTGGCTTGCAAAGACAGAAGAAAGGGCCTATTAGGCCAGCGCTGACTAATTAGGTTGCAATGATTGGATCTGTGTCTACACACGACAAAAATCAATCCATTTAATCGCCTCATTGCTTAATAAAAATTAAAATCCTCATCTCCATACAGCTAGCATCTTCATTAAGGGAACGCTGTAAGATTCTCATCTACAGCATGCCACGCTGCCTATTCACAGGCTTTTGTCAAAATATTTTTTAAATAAGAGAGCTATCACACGTATCAAAGAACACATTCAATGCACACTGTAAACAGGACATCGCATCACAAAAATTCAAAGTCAGGCCAATGCTTTCATAAACATTGGCCAACATACCGTCAGTGAAGTCCAACGCGTACACTGGAAATCTTCGTGCAATGTCATCAGAAATCCCCTTGCCAACATTGAGAAAGTCATGCAGCTAAAGAAAGGAAGGAAGTGCTGTGTCAGTTTAAAGGCTCATGCATTGTTAAAGAGATTAACCTCCTTATTCAATAGTGATAGGAGCAAAACTGGTCACTCTGAATAGGGCATTCAAATCGGATTTTGTAACGATAATAAAAATAAACTCTTTGCGCTTCCAATTTATATCCTCAAAAGCATTGTAAAAGAGAAAATCCCCCAGATCACCCTGTTTTCCTCCCTTCCTTCCCTGCCGCACCCTCCCATTCATATCTGCATCCCTGCTTTGCAGGTGAGGGAGTTGATGCATATGTGACCCGCTGAAAACACCCTGCCCAACGGCAGGATTAGACCTTGGGTACCCTGGGGTTAAACACCAGGTCCGAGATCCCATCCCTCTAGAAATCTTCTTGTTCTGCAGATGCCATCACAAATCCACATGAAGCCTCCAAAAGGGGATCCCCAGCAAGTGCTCCCTTCCTTGACATTGTCACAGCACAGGGACACCTCAGCTAGAGCACAGAATCATGGAAAGTTTGGGGATGGGATGACCTTTAAAGGTCCCTTCAAGTCCAACCTCAGAATTAGTAAGGGAACTAAGACTGTCTATACCTCAAACTTCACCAAAAGGGAACGAGCTTGAGTAACTTCACATAACCAAGCTATCATTTCTGCCTGTTAAAAGACAGCAAGATCATTGTGAAAGAGTTCCAAAAACCCAACGTATTCTGTTTTATTTCTGGTTTGGGGGTCTGCAAGGTGCAGTGTGATTGTCTGTACAATCTGATGCTCATCACAGGCAATAGGGATATTTTCAGAAGTCTTTGACAGCTGCTATTGACTTACAGCCTCCCAATCCTCACAGAAAGCACATGGAAAGCATCAGAGCAGGCAACACTTGCAAGTGAGGCACCTGTCATTTTATTTTTCCCCCTATTATCCTCAACTCAGAGCACACATACTAGTCTGAAAAATCAAATGCACCTTTATACAGCACTAATTACCCCAGCTGTCTCATCTAAAACATTTCGTGTGTCTGCTGCAGAACTAGATGCAGAAGAATTATAACCTCTGCTAGGGAGTGTAGGGTGGGAGGGGGAAACAAAATCAGAGATCCAAAATTTTTACCAACAGATCATCTCAAAACAGCACCGACCTCTTCCTTTGGAAGATCAGAGCAGTAGTTGTACCATGGAAAGCTCTCCTTTAGCAGGAATACACTGGGCACAGATAACACTAGGGTTTGGGGTGCAAAAAAGATACCTCAGAGGACCATCTCCTTTATCAGCGACTACATCTCATATTCCAGCTACTTAAGTCAGTTCTGTTGCATTTTGGCCATACACCGGTATGACTTCAGGACAGTTTCAACTCTTTAAGCTGTACAATCATGACAAAAAAGACAGCAGACACCAGCATACCATCTGCGTTTTAAGCATTTCCGAAAGAGCTATGAGCTTAAACCATGTTTGGAGGCATATCTGAACATCAAAGCCATATGCACTTGAAAAGCAATTTAATTTTTCTCTCCCTCCCTCCCCAGAAAGACATTCCTGAAGGCACGAGTCACCCAGAGAATCACAATAGCTTTAATGAGTAATATGTTTACTCGTCTCACTGCAGTGAGTACAGGGGGAAAATGATGCTCGGGGTATCTCATCTTCCGGAGAAGCCACATGCTTGCTGCTGGCCTGGGGCCGAGAGGGAAGGGGCACTCATGCACAGCGCCTGTTTGTAGGAAGCAGCGAGCATTCAGAAAAGGAAAGCACTGCCCAGCTTTGGTCCTGCAAGGAACACTGAGGCAAATTTCAGAGAAAGGGGAGCCCAACGGGTTATGTTCGAGAACCCACAATTCCTTCAAGCATTTATTTCTTGCACAAGTTTAGCTGAGGCTGGGGCGTAGGGATGTCAAGGTAAGCCTCCTCAGTGGCTAGGCACAGGGAAATCTGTTTGCCCTGCATGGCTAATCCTCCTCTTGCTTTCCTTTCTGCCCTACTAACAGAAACAAGGAATCTCTTTGGTTGGAAGAGACCTTTAAGATCATCAAGTCCAACCGTTAACCTCACACTCAACTCAGGTTGCACTGAGAAGATAAAAGACCAAGTTTACAGACCTCTGAAGTTCCTGCCCTTTTGGGGTTTACTTTTATCCCTCAACCTATCCGCCATGCATCTCCATTGTCTAACTCCACTCCAGACTTGTTTCAGTCTGGATTTTGCCTCCTGCCATCTTCTGAGCTTGCACCTTGAGAGGCTTCCAAAAATCTTGGGAAGGACAGTGCTGACTTGCCCTTTTTGATCTGCTTCTTCATACACTGCAGAGCTGGGAATGTCTTGGACTACTAGTGGTTTGAGTGCAGTGCTGGCAATAAGGATCAACACCGAGGCCGTGGGTTCGATTCCCGCTCGGTCCCCATGTGTTGCCAGGTCTAGTCGAGAGGTGGCGTCCCTGCCCAAAACAGGGAGGTTGGACTAGATGATCTCTAAGGTCCCTTCCAGTCTAGGCCATTCTAGGATTCTATGATTCTTTGTCCTTCAGTGGGTCAAGCCTGGCTCATCCACTGGCTTTCCACCCCATTCTGTGGTGTCACCTCTCGTGGCCCTGTCATCTTTTTGGTTCAACATCCTGATACTCGGTGGCTTTATCAAGGAGTTCAGAGCTGCATTTCCCATCGGCACTAAGCTCAAGGCTTATTAGCCATCAGGAACCACAGCTCGGGTACCCAGCACCAAAACCTCCTTCAGGCTCCTTATTCTCCTCTTCTGCAAGTTCTTCCAGGGCTTCATTCATGCTGCTCCTAATACACAAGGGAGGAAAGAGCAGCAAAAACAAACACACACACTAGAAACCCCAGACAACAGAAGAATCACAGCCAGAAAGCATCACAACAGTTAGGGGCTCCTCAATGAACAAGATCAGTTAGATGCATCAGTAAACAAGAGGATTTCAGGCTGACTTAATTACAACTGAGTACGTAGCCTTCTCTAAATAATCCTCGAAGATGAGCCAAAGCAAACTGACTGTGCTGCAGGCACAGCACGGTATGCAACTGCCATGTCTCCTGCAGCATTTTAGCAGAGGTGAAAATGAGCACTTGCAAAAATCCCACCTCACAGAGCATTTGAGTCCTGTTTCTCTCCCACCACTGCAGGACCAAGGGAAGGAAGCGGCAAATTTTTATGTTACCAAGAGACTTTATCCTCCTGCCTCCCTGAGGGCTCACTTGTAATAATACAGTGGCTCAGGATTAGGGTATTTATTTCACTGGAGGTGGTTCATAGGTTGAAATTACACCTCTGGCCTCGTATGAGTTTGTGCTCATATTAAACTCTTCCTTTCTAGAAGGCTCTCGCACAGGGCAGGGACAGGGAGAGGAGGTGCCGCTGGAGATGGCTCTCATAGGAACTGAGGAACACAGCCTATGATCTCAAATCAACCTCACTTCTCCAGACTAATCTTTGCTTCCCTGGAAATCTCCAGCCCAGCTCTTAATGTCTATGCTGGCAAAGCAGAGTAGGAGACAGCTTCTTCCAAGAGACATGAGAAAGAGTTAGTACTACACAGGCTGCGTCTGCCGAGAGCTGAAGGATACGACATTTTTAAAAACAACAATTTACCAAATCCAGTCCAAGAATGGTCAACGCCAAGAGCAAGTGCTAAAGTAAGAAGCACCACTATCTATAGCGCAGAGTTGTCAAAAATTTGCCTGGCCAAAGCTGCTCGCCCACAGAGGCAGGTAAGAAAACATCTAAAAGCTCAGTGTTGCATCCAGTCCTCCTGTTCACCAAACTCCAGAGCAGAAAATTCTCTATGGATATTTAAAAAGGGTTAGTTTCAGGAGAAGACAGAGTAAGATACTGGGACTGCTCTAATAAAAACATCTCCTTTGAAAGCCCAAGTGCAAAGGGTTAAACCTACTTTCAAATATACTACTGCAACTACTCTGAATACCACTGCCCTGAATGACCCAGGTTTCAAGAGGATTTTGAGATTTGTTCTGCAAACTTAAGAGCAGGTATGGGGTCTAGCAAAGTTCAAAGCGCTACCTATAAGTGAGGGGATTCTGCAGGAAAAACATGAGCTTTGCTCATTTCCAGATGTGCAGATCAAAATCCCTTAAGTCTATTCCAGGAATAAAAAAAAAAAAAGTGATAAGTTAACCAGCTTCTGCACCGTAGGCAACCCAAAGCTTTAAGGTTATTTGTAATTCAGAGAGAGGAGCAGCAAGCTGGAGATGACAGTTTGTTTTTCAGGTATGCTGTCTGGTTAAAGAATGAATTTCTGAACGGAAAAGCAAAGCGATGACCAATACACAGGAAATTCCAGAAAAGAAAGCTGAATTACAGCATTTCCCTCAAACTTTAAAGCACAAAGCAAGTAACGTTTTACAGAGCTACAGATCAAACAGTGAGAAATCAGGCCAAATACTGACAGGCAACTTGAGTGAAATTACCATGTAGAGATGGCCAAGAAGTCTTTTGGCTGTGGGAAAGACAAGCAGCAGCTTCCTTCAGAGACTTCTGACTGCAAGGATGAAGTACCTTGGACTGACAAGGCACAGGGATCCATTAATCCCACCCTTGACTAAGCATCTGGAATCAAAGTCCTCTAATATTTCAATCCCCTCCTGCTCTACATCCATTCAGCACCTGCCTCTTTGAAGTAGGTTTTTCCTTTTTTTTATTTTTAGATTTACAGCAGGAGCAGAGGAAGGTGGACATACACACGGCAGCCGCTCACAGAAACCTCAGTGTTGAGAGCTTGCTAGGAGAACCACATGGATGCAAACAACACAGCTGCTTCACCTCTTTACCCCAAAACCCTTGCATACAACTTAGAACACTCGACTTACCTTGAGTGGCTTAGGACTGTGTGTGTTGTGCTCATCGCTCATCGCTGAGGGTCTCTGATTCACCACCGTCAACAAGTGGCGTTGGTGGACTAAGGCTTCCTTGAACTCCTCCTCAGTTTTGGTTTCTAGGAGCTTCTGCCGAAAGGTTATGTCTGAAAACATCGTGGCAAAGGTCCTGCCCACCTCTGTGGCAGTTTTGGTACTTTTCTGAGTGCAGGGAAAAAAGAAAAATACAGAAAAACATCTCATAAACTTTTTTTCTCGCTAGGGAAAGGTAAAACCACTGATTTTTCCCGTTTAGCACTATGTGAAGAGCAAGCTGCCTGGCCTCCAGGATCCCAGGGACACCCAATGGAGATGGTCACACGTGGAAATTGTTCCAACAAACATACCAACCACAGCAGGATCCTGTGAGCATCAACACACAGGTCTTGACCGGTCCTGATCCGTCTTACCTGATCAACTTCCCAGGACTCAAGCCAAAGCTGAATCATGCTGAGCATGCGTTTTATCCCCAAGTTTCTTTTCAAGGCCGCTATGACTCAACAAATAAGAGTCTTTACTATCCTACAGCATCTCAGCATTATTGCTACTGGGGTGGAAAGAGACTGTAGTTAAGGTTCCTGCAGGCAGAAGCATCTTGATGTCTTTTCTGGAAGATCGAGATTATCGTGCACATCTGCTTCACAAGCTTCCTATTTTCTGGGCATTAAAACTCAATTTAGTTGGCCTCTCCAGGGCAATTCTGGCAGCACAAGTGGAGGTTAAGAGCTCTCCACTAAAGTAACTACTGGCATGGAGGAAAGCACAGGGAAGAAGTAGCTAAGCATGCACACAACGTACTCTATCCTCACTAAGAGCTTGGAAGGGACAGGAGACTTGCAAACATGAAAAAGTAACAAGTGCCTATTTTCAGGCTTTAACATCTCTGTGAGCCACAGGCCTGATCATTGAAGGTCCCACTTCAACAGTACCCAAGTCTGCTTTTCAATTGCTTCAAGCACCTTGGAATTTATATACAAAGGGTACAGAAAAAGACTGAGCTCCCGGCACAAATTCAGCAAATCCAAGCTTTACAAACGCCGAGCTGCTCAAGTGCTTGTACCGCTTTGGACAGGACAGGTAAGATACTTGTCAAGGCAACGTTACGTAGAAGCAGAGCTCATTAGGAGCTCCTTTGGATGCAAAATTTAACCCACTCGCCTTAGCTCCACTCAACAATCATTATGCAGCAGCTGCTACAGACACCCAAACAACCACCCTCCTTTGGACAGCCTCCAAGCTCCTCACGTTACTGTGAAAAGTAGTAGCAAGCATATGTGATCGATCCGAATCCGTTTTCATGATTCATAACAAAGCAGATGAACAGTTTTCTGCGTGAACACAACCAAAAAAGAGTTCAGCATCGCCTGACGCAGAGCCATGGACGTGTGGCTGACAGTGCGCTAGTCCCAAAGTCATTGCTACCATCTAGACTTGCTCCGTCACCCACATTGCCCTGTCTCCACCTCTCCTTCCATCGCTGGGGATGTCCTTTCAGACAGGCTTGCTAGGACACATTCAACTTAAGTTTCAAGGAAAGAGTTTGCATCTCAGTGAAGATATTCTGCTCTGGGAGTTGCTTTTAGAGTTTGTAAGCTTGGTCCTTTCACACTGAATGAGCCTGGCTTTGCCGTCACAGCGGAGGCTTCTCCTTTCACCTCTGAGCAGCAGCAGTCTTTGGGCTGGACGGTGCAATGGATTACCTCAAGCTGCCCAATGCTGCTCCTTTTTTTGCTTTCTCAGAGAGATGGTTGAGAGAAAAAGAGCAGACATTTGCAAGCAAACAATTTTTTTCCATCCCCCATATTCAAGAAGGCCAAGGAGCTGGATTCCTCAACGCAACAGATGCCATTTTCTGGGCTTTTTTTTTTTTTTTTCTCCCCAAGCAAGGCTCATTTAATCTGTTACTGTCAGCAGGTTAATTATTTTAACTGCTGTACCAGAAATGCGTACTTTGAGCTGGCTAGATGAACTCATTTAAAATAAAAAGCATATTGGCAACTGCAGCTCTGCTTGGCCTCCACTCCCTTTCCTTGATTTGATGCTGTCCATTGGAATTGCAAACTCTCGGGATAGAAGCGGATGCAGAGCTGTTTGCTGGGTGCTTTGCACGTAACTGGCCAGAGATAAGCGAACTGCCATACCAGGAAAAAGAGATCAATGCAACTGCGCACCGGTTCACTTGTTTGCCTGCTGCTTTTCATAAAGAACATCAATATGTTTTCAGCCTGTCAGGTTGGAGATCTATGCCAAACGCATTGAACTGCTCAGTTGGGAAAGATCTGCCAGAAATCCTGGGAAATAAGGAAACACCAGTATTTCCATTTAAACAAGGGTGGTGGTAGAGGGAGGGGAGGAGACAGAGAGACCAGACTGGAAGGTCTCAAGGTCACACAGATAGCATTGAAGAGCAGGAAATTGAATCAGGATATGTCCCATTCCAGACAAGGTCCCCAACTTCTCCAGCACCTCCCAGAAGCACAGACTTAGCAGCCCCAAGAGGTAAACAGCCATCTTAAGGGTGAAAAGGTCTTGAGCTTTGAGCCATTCAGCCATTAGCTAGAACACCACACCATCTTCATCAAGCCAGTGCTTTCTAGGAAGACAGGATGGGGATCCCCAATTGACCTTGATGCCCTCCGTGATACTGCAGTACGTGTGTACTGCTAGGCCATTTGTTGGCCCTGCCTACACCAAAGAACAAGTAAGAGTGCTTGAGCAAGCTTTAACCTTGCTGTTTCAAGTGCCAAAAGCTACAAAAACACATTCCAAAGGACCTCAGGACAGTAGGACACCTTGCAAGCACCCCAGCTCCCAGATAGTCTCACTCATCTGCAATAGAGCTCACAAAACATCTTCCTCTTGGCTACATCTATGATTGCTGCAACCACACCTGCAATTTAACGGTCTGTCCCATCAAGAGAAGCTGGGAAGCATCAAAAGAAACTGGGAAGTGACCCAGATCTTTGCAGTAGGGCACCAGCTGCATACTCACAAGAGCCCTTCACAAGCACAGCTTTAAGCAGGAACAGCATTCCTTACCTCTAAAAACAGTAGCTAAACTGGTAAAGCTGGAGGGGAGAATCTGTAGAGTAATACATGCATCACAGTTGGAGCTCTTAGTGAAAAGTGTTTGAGGACTACAGACACAGTTCATCTGCAGTCTTCTCCTCCCAGTTACGCTAGAGGCCATTCTCCAGTATAAAGACAAGGACATAGTTGAATAATTTACCCCTCACAGACACTTAGGATAAACCATCTTGACAACTGCTGAGAAGATCTCAGGCCTTGTCACATCGTCTTGTCTTTTAAAAATAATATGTTGTCATTAACTCTAGGAGACCAATAAAAAGAAATTCTGGGAAAACCTTCTGAAGCACTAGAGCAAACAAGAATGCAATACTCACCATTTTAGGAGGAGCCAAGACTAATATCACAAATCTCACTTCGCAGGAGTTTTCACCCCAATTTTGAGGCCTCTCCAGACGGCTGATGCAAACATGACGTCGCTGAAGGGACTTTATAGTGCAACTGTTAAGGAAGATGGCATCATTACACATGGCACTATGACACATGGCACGCTCTGTCCTGGTGTGCAAGGTTTAAGAGGCACATTTCAACTTTGAGAAACACAAAATAATACTGGTTGTGAAAGGGTCACTTCCGAAGTCTTAAACTAAGTTACTGTTAGCCCAATTTTGCTAATTCTTTCATAGAACTGACATCCACATTTTGATGGCAAATAACTTTCAAGATGTATTCTCTTTCATTCCCCATCTGCTTTTTAACAGCCAAGAAATCGAGAGCACAATATACCTAGTACTTGTAGTGCTACAGAAGCTTCTACAAAAGAAACCTCTTACAAAAAAAAAGCTGTATTACCAGAAAGAAGTTCACACTTCATTTCATTTCACCTGATCTCCCAAAGTGCTTTTGGAAACGTTCAGGCTAGATGCCAAATCAACATATTTCCACTTCTTTTGCCTTGGACAGATCTTATTCTCTGTCTAAAAGGCCTTCCCTCTTTGCTCTCAGCTGTTATTTTTTCCCCCCTTTCTGGTACAGGTGTGTTACACAAACCAAGCTGACATCCTTGCTCAAGATCTTGGAGGCTGTAGCAGGCAGGATGACTGCTCTGAAGGAAATTCTTGGCTGCAATCCAGCCAGCTGTGCTGGGCATGTGATGACTGTTGGACTCCTGTAACAACCAAAGATCAGCAACAAGTTGTTTGAAACCAGCCATGAAAGACCAGGTCTGTCTCCACCTTGGGGTAGATGAAAAGCTGTGATGTGAGACAAAGCAGCAAAGCGGCTTGGTTTGGTTTAAGGAGGAGGCTAACACCAGCCTGGACTGCACTCTCCTGTTTTTATTAGAGCCACCTACTACTTCTCAACTGTTCTGAAAAGCTCTGGTGAAATATGTACACAGAGGTTGCCGACTGACAGGTATGTTTTTCTGTTTCAGAGGGATTTTTTTTATCCCTCCCCTGTTTTTAGTTCTGGTTCAAAAATCTCTTCACCTGCTTGCTTCCTTTTATTCATCTAGCAAGCAGCTATCACAGTCTTTGTGACAGGAGGATTCATCTCTCATTTAACTTCTCTTCCATAATCCTAGCCCATTTCTTTCCTTTTAGCACATACTCCTCATACCTGGGCATCTTTGAAGGTTGTTCTAGTAACAGCTCCTGAAGATCTTTGGCCGGGGATGTACTAGCATGCTGTATTTCCTATTAAGTTCTAACTTGCATTCAAAAAAATCACACCATCAAGTATTTTCTGACTGGGTTTGACCTCCTTGATCACAGACTGGAAACAGCCTACTTGCACAAAGTAATCTGACAAAGTTTGAGAGCAACCAAGCAGCTTAATGAGAACAATATAGGCCATGAATAAGGAAATTAATTAAATACTGTCGTTTAACTCCCACCTCAGCCCCTTGTTCTTTTTCTACTCCTATCAGTTTTGAAAGAGAGAAACATCAAGGCAGGCCCTAAGGTTAGGAATAAATTTCTTCTCCTAAAGTAATTGAAAACAGAGTGCAAGCTATCTTCTCAACTAAACCCGTAGTTTGGATCTGCAACAATCCTTGTCCTTCCTTCCCAAGGGATTAAATTAGCACAGACAACACTGGTTTTCACAAAACCAAAGCCCTGGGTAGCAATCCTGCTGTGGCTGAACAGCTTACAAGTCTCCTTATGTTACAGTTCAACAAGCCAAGGAGGAAGACACAGGAACTCCAGGCTTCATACTCACAGGAGAACCTTTAAGTGGTCCAACACCTTCAGTTCCTTCCCCATCTACCTGAACTGGTCATCAAGAGCGAACAGTTAAAGCATCATTAGCAAAAAGTCTCTAAGGTCCCTTCCAACCTAGGCCATTCTATGAAATCCATTCTCAGCATTTTCATACCTCAAGTACTGAGCTCACTGATGAATTTGTTTAGAAAAGGAAAGCTTTCTAGGTATTTTCAACATCGTTTCTACTCCAGAGATGTCCAGAAGCAGGTATCAGATACCAGCACATGCCCCAGTGCCTGGATATCAAGGCACACGTGTGAATGTAAGCTTGTGTTGTGCAGGTACAAGTTTCCAGCCATCTCTTGGCAGTATCTACTTGCCTGCTCCCACTCCATTTGAGTAAATCCAACAACCAAAAACCTCACAAAACCCAGAATTCAACTTGCTCCTACCTGAAGCAGGAAAGTCAACATGTGAGAGCCCTGCTCACCCAGCTACAATACGTGAAGTCATCCTGCAATGTAGCAAGTTATTTGGAAAAATCTATTATATAGTGCCGTAATTAATCAAGCCACGTGTTCTGTAGCTAGCTTTCTCTCTGAAGCGACAGGGTCACGTTTCAGCTCCAGTAACTTGTCTCAAAGACTCTGCTTTTCAGAGATGACAGTCCTGTCAACAGTCCACATGGCTACAACGTCACCTCAGCTCTAGAACTTCTTGAGTATGGAGGGGAAAGTTTGACTCTAAAAGGCTTCTCTTTGTTACTGCATTACTTTCACATACGAGGTAGTTTTCCTGGCACCCATGCCAAAAATTTGTGTTTCTCTAATAGAAACCCACTGTCAGTTTGAGTCTTCTCACACCTAAAAGATAATTCCTTCCAATTCTTCTGTGAAGAGCTCTATTGACACCGACACATGCATCTGAATCCCAGTATCACACCGGTAAAACTGAGTGTCAACCACTGGAGAATTTCCAACCTAGTTTAGGTCAACATATGGGCACGACTTAAGTCGATAATGCCTTTAGAAAGCAGGCTGAGTTGGTTTAGTGGTGGCCAGAGCAAAAACCAGACTTAAACAGGTGCCACAGAAGGTCTGATGCACCCAAGCATCATTGCACAGAGGGGAAAAACTGCTTTTGTGCAGAACGCAGCCTCATCTACACAGAGCCCGGTCTCACTCTGTTTACCCATTTACCTGGGGAAAAAAATAAACCAGAGTCTCACTACTTTTTGTCCAAGGCCAAGTCACTTCCCCCCTGCATCTGAAATTTTTCTTCAAATTCAAGCTATTACTTAGTGGACTCAAATCTTACTCCTTGGTGCAGCACTTAGAGCTCCCAGTTTTGTTTTAATTCCAGAATCCAGATACAAATATAATACAAACCAGAACTGAAGGGCCTACTAGACGTTTGCAAATATTTATAAAGAACAAAAGTGATTTGGTTCACGTGGAGAAATCCCAAGTTATGTAAGACTGCAGGTAAACCTCAGCATAGTTCAGACCAAGAGGAGAGTCACTTTCAAAATGAAGCAACTTTTTTCAAGTACCATTTAAGTGAATTCCCACTAAGGAAAAAAAAAAAAAAAATTGAAGCACAAGTAGTCAAAGTCCAAGAAAACCTGAGAACTTGCAAGACATTTTCAGCTGACTCTAAATCAAGTCTGGTTTGGCCAAAGCATCCAAAGTTCTCTTTCGGTTTGGGTTGAGCTAAATTTGATTCTCCTTTGGTTTGGCCAAAAAGCTGAAAAAAAATAAATAAAACAAATCTATTTTCACCCAGTATTAGTCACAGATGGAAATGCTGGTCTATGATTTACTGAGATGCCAGGTTGTGTTCTCAGCAATTTTATCTTGATCCTCTGATAATTGAGCTCATAAAAAGGGCATTTAAATTACAGCACGCATTAAAAATCTTTCCAGACTGTGCATCTAGCGGCATTGAGCGTGGCACCTCTGATGGCAAGAGCTGGCAAAGCTCCACTGACTCACATAGGCTGCAGGTCTGCCCCACACCCAAGATGTTATCAGAGTAATAATACATTTCTCAACCAAATCATTAAAAGGGTAAAATTATAGAGACCCAAGAGAAACAGAAACCCTCTTCAAACAGGGCAAGAGAGGAAGTTAATTCAGAAAGAAATTATCTCCTGCAGTAAGAAAAATTGCCCAGCAGAGGTAATCAGCTCGCCAGCCTTTTCCTGTCCCGACGCAGAACAACAATGACACTTCTTGTTCTCATCCACTGCAAATAAATCTTCCTTCACGGAGCAGCTCGAGGCACAAGCTTTCAGAAACCAGAATTTGCAAGTGAGGAATGAAGCAGTGACCAGCACGCCAGCTCACCCGCAGCTTGGCACAGGGCTGCTTCAGCCACAAAATCGCTCCAAGCTGGATATCGTTCCCAACTGGTAAATGCACTTTGCTGGGCTCCAGAAAGACCCATCCTCTCTAGCAGTTAAGCTCTCTAAGGGGAAAGCATTTCCTACAGGGCAATGCAGAAGGAGACGTCTCCTTCTCCTCATACACATGCTGCAGGCACAGCAACGAGTCGCCCTTCTCTCAGACAGATCTCCTTTGGGACCCAAATTCCTAAAGAAGAGTTTGAATTGGAAAACTCCTTCTCACAAACACAGCACTTACCAGAGCCCCAATTCTCCAGTATAACCTGGGACAGCCCAACAAGAGCGGCTGCAGCACTTAAAATAAAATTAATCAGGTCTTTGAACCCAAAGACGGTTGCTGAATATTCTGGAGAGGAGGTTCTCATTTACAAGACTCCAAATCTTGTAACCCTTCCTCCAAAGGATAATATTTGGTTTAAATGGCTGAACTGTTTTGCTCTTTGGAAGAAGGGGCACTATTCTGAGGAACACACATCCTACAAATAGCATCCCTATTGGAACTCTGTTCAACAGCTAAAACAGAAGCAACGTGGCTTTTCCAGACCCACAAATCCCTGGGTCTGCACAAATCCTTTAATACACAAAATAGGCCATGCATTATTTTTGTTGAGATCCATTAGCAGCATGTTTCACACAACCATCAGTTACACATTAAATCAGAGGAGTTACTACTCGTAAACTTTAGTCTGTTTGAACAGCCGTCTTGCTTATTACCCAGAAAAACCTCAATACTCATTTCTGAAAGGCTATCTGGGTTTTTCCGAGTTAAACTCCTCCACAGGAATGACTGCAGTGACACACTATACCAGAGCAAGCGATTTTTATAGCAACACAGAGTACACAAATCACTAAACCACTCTTTGCTTGCAGAGAGCTTTTTTTCCTCTGCTTTGCCTGTTAAAACAGCTTTAGCAAATCAGCTAAATGCACTGAAAATAAGTCCTTCACCAATCCATGCGCTTTATCAATGCAGCCAGGGGAAATGTCTCCTCAGCTACTCGATCTAGACTACGAAGCAGCTTGCTTTCTGTTTTTCTAAGGATTCAGCTTTGGAAGAAAGCAGTATCTATCTTCTGGAAGAACAATATAGCCTGGAGGTTGTGATGCCCAGGGAGTTCCACTCAGCTCAGGGAGCATTTGCTCAGTAACCCACAGAGCTGACGTTTCTCCTAGGAGGACATCAAGGAGAGAACTCCACCAGCAGTAGGCTAACAGTTTCTTTAACATCCTTAGCATTAGATATCCTTCACTCTGAAGGAAAAAGAAATGAGAAAACAGGCATTTGCATCTCTATTTGTCAGACAGTGAAAGATGCAACTGGGTGTGACAGGACTTGGAGAAGTGCCTCTCATCATACCTTCCATTGGATAAGGAAAGGCAGGGGAGGCTTCCTTGGGCTTTTTGAAACACAGAACTATGTGACATCAAAACCAATAGCTCTCACAGGAACTTCTTTCTCCACCTGACCCAGACATGAAAAGAATTCAGTTTACACCCTCCAGACTCAGCATCATGGTAGGTCTGGGTGGTTCACGGGGAACTCCAAGCACCCTCCTGGGAGTATATCTACCTGCTGCAATCGTTGCACACTGGAGGGGGACCAAAGCACCTCCCTAAATTCCTACTAACGGCAGAGCTTCCTCATGCTACATAACAGAGTAAGTGAGAAGAGTTCGGCAGTCCTCATTCTGGGGACAGGCTACCCCTTATCCCAGGTTCTCTAACAAAAACAATCAACCAGCAGCTTCATAGTGAAAGAAGAGATCTCCACTCCTGTTTGTGTCTTCTTGTTCTGGCAAATGTTATAAATAGGAGGAAAAAAAAACCCCAAAACAACATGATCTCTTAGGTCTCTTCCAGTCTAGGCCATTCTATGATTCTGTGAAACGAGTTGTGTCCATGGTTTCTACAGCACGAGATCGTCTCCTTGACTGATGAAACAAAATAACTAACCCTGAAAATTTGCTTTTTAGTTAGAAAACCACCCCGTACACAAACACGTAGCAACCTTCGCTCTTTCAGAGCTGAGGATGGCTGGTTAGTGGGGCAGTACGGTGCTACTCTCAGCTACACAGAACTTTAGTAAAGGAGGCTCAAGGTTTCCATAAGCTTACGTACCCTGGTATAGCTTCAGCAAGATGCAGTTTTGGTCATTCTCAACAAATAAAAAAGCTTACTGCGAATCAGAAACCAGGTGTTTTCCTGGGCTTCAGTGAAACATTCGAATCCTGAGAATTTCAATTCCTCAATGGTTTGTTCTGTCATGTGGCTATAGCCCAGATCCCTATGGTGCATCTGACCTTGCTGGCAGTTTAACAGACCTGAAACTATAAGGAAAGTACCAATTCCCAAAGAAGCAGAATAGATGCTTCACCCTAGGTTTTCTGCACCACTCTTCCCACTGAGGATAAGTGAGATAAGAGTAGTCCCTCTCTCTGGCACAGAAGAGAGAAGGAACCAAATTTTTGTGTCCATTAGGAATGCTCTTCTGCAGTCAGGCTCTGTGTAATTCAGTAAAAATCCTACATGAGGTGTTGTTTTGTTTTTTTCTTTCTCAGCTAATTGCAGCTTTAATAATTCCTTTTCACAGAATCATAGAATTGTATCAGCTGGAAGAGACCGATTTGAAATCAGTGCAGAAGTAAGAGTATCAAAACCATAACTCTGAGCTTCTCTTCTTCACTGATATAATCCTATCATGATACTCAAGCCTAAGTCATCCACTAGGAATAAAAAAGTTAGTTAAGGTGCACAAAAATCAGAAGTACTCATTTAAAATTTAGCAAAGAGTATAGACTAACTGCAAGGATAAAGAATAGCGGATATCTTAAAGGTTCTTCCCACTCAGATGGAAATTTTTTTCATCAATAAATTCCTTTTACTTCAGAGTTTTGGAAGTTGTTTTGCAATCTGACTTCAAGAAAAATGTAAGGTCTAAAAATATGGTTCACAATCTGTTGCACAATAGCTACAGCAGAAATACAGCGCAACAATTAGATAATTATAGTTAATAACTCATCACTGCTTTCCCACCACTTTCTTCTCCCTCTTCAGAATAACAAAAGGAAGAAACAAGGAAAGTTTTGCACAAGACACCTTCAGGCTGTAAGCTTATTTTTCAAATCATGTCTTGTCATGGAAGCTAGTATTACTCACATGGATGCATTTAAAGCTCTGGCACACTTTCTACAGGAAAGCTGAACCTACCCTTTTCAGTCTCACATATATAATCACAGCGACCTCTAGAAGTGCTTTGTTATTAAGCCAACGCTCTCCAAAGCTCTCCATAGAGCCACAACACAGTAGAAACTTCCACCCTCTAGCTTTCCTAGAGTAGCACGGACGTATCCTTATTGCTGCTTGGCTACCCACGGCACCCAAGGTGGAGGAAATTGCCCCAAAGCCCTTTTCTGATCAGCACAGAGAGCCCATTTTGCTGTATAAACTCAGGTTCCTCTTTGCACAAGCTGCTCTGCACAGACCAGGTGTAGGAGTAGAGGTAACCATAGCACACGCAGCATAGATACTACTCAGATTACTTGTTTCTCAGGACAGAAACCTAATCTGCAATAGTTTCCTTTTTACATAAGGGTCACATCTTTCTCTTTCATAATAGATTAGAAACAACAGTGGGTTTTTTGTTGCTTGCTGGTGGGTTTTGCTTGTTTAAAAAAAAATTAAATTATCATCTATTTCTGAGGCAGAACATTTTACATTTTTTCCAGCCATAAGCAGAGGGTAGAAGAACTGCTCATAAAAGGTAAGCTATTGTGACAGTTGTCCTAGCAAGCTGGCTGTGAAAGCTAAAATATGTGCATGCACTCCCCGAGCCTTTAGGCACCTATCCAACATATCCTAGTAATTTCTCTGGGAATTCACGTATTTCTTGACAATTTGACTTCGAGACTGTATGTGCGTAAAGCAACAGCCAGAAGTCGAATCATGTTGCTTTGGTTGGCTCAGTGACTCGGGTTCTGGCTTTCCTCTGTGAAGGGACTGCTTGGCTCAACCAACACGCTTGACTGAGACAATGTCAAAACCCAGTTTTGATCAAGTAGAAGCTGGGGTGAAGCCACCAAGTCTCGTAAATCCCAGGTGACAGAGTCCTTATTGCCTTAAGGGTCTGCTCCAACGTTTAACAGTGTTGACAATTAATGAGCATCTGAATTAATTATCAGACAAAGCAGCCAGTGTCTAAACAGCGTCAGAATTTCTGACTTCAATTTTCAGTTACAAAGTTTAGTCATTTTCATCAAAGGACCTAAGAAATCTTTTGGTACAAGTTCCCAGACTTTGGCAGGCAAAGTAGTGCATGAACCAGTTTGCTTGCTCCTTTCAAAAGTTCCTCCCCATTAACATTTCTCAGTAATTAGCCTTTTCTGGGTCTTTTTTTTTTTTTTTCAGCATTCTTAGCTTGTTAACACCAGATTTCAATAGCATCCAAGAGCTTAATGCCCTGAAGAGGCTGTGGTCACCTCTGCCCAGGCTACTGCTCATCCATTTGCAAAGAGGAGCAGCCCAATGCCATGACTGAGATCCTACAGGACGGATGAAGAGAGCATCACTGTCTGAACTTCCAAGGGTGCATTCTGAATCACTGTTCTTCCCAGCAGCGTGAAAATTCAACTTCTGAGCAGCCAGTGGATTCTGCTAATCTAACCCAGGTACTTACATGATACAGAGCCAGGACTGCTGATACTGCACCCCCGTGACTGTCGCTGTGACCCCTTGAATTGTATCTGATAAGAGGTGAACTAGGAAAAGAAGAGAGGGCAACGTTACAAGCTGTCCACGTTCGGCTTGCAAACTGCAAATGACATTTCGTTTCAAACGGAAGCCAAGAACTAATACCAAGCATACTTAGTTATCTGCACAGTGGATTGATGCAAGGGTGGAGGGGTGACAACAGAGACACAGAAACATCTGTCCTAATGCTTTTGAATTTTGTCTTTAAGCTATTCACAGCTTGGAAAGGCAGCTGCTTTCTTCCCCCAACACCAACCCACTGCAATATTAGGTTATTAGATTAGCACTATTCAACACACGCACAGACAGGACTGGAAAAGGCGTCGCCTTCTGAATCCCCTGCCCTCTCTCCCCCTCTTCCTAACTACTGTTGTCATATTATTTTACGGCACTGTGTAATTTTTTCTTTATTGGTAGAAAGCCTAAATTAAAGAGATTATAAAACGCAAAGCTCTAAGACAGGTAGCAAGAAGTAACCAAAGCATGAACATGCTTACTACATGCTCAGGACTTGACATATCTGTTAAATAAATTCACTCAGGCTGTGACAGTTACATTTGAGGTGCGATGTACATGTTTGTATATTCTTTCCTGTTGACTCTGAAACATCATGGGTGCCTACAGAGAAACAATGCTTAGTTAAGCTTCTTTACATCTTGGGCTAAAAGGCAGCATTTTAGATGAGGCTATGACATTTGCTGATAGCTTAAGGTGACACATGAGCTGACAACATTGGCTAGGGCTGCCCTAGTTGAGTTTCTGGAGGAAAACAAAGTGCCTCTTGTACCTTCCAGTGGGCTGGGAGCAATGCTCAGCCCTCCCTAATCAATTATTCAGCCAAAGCAGGGAGAACTCCCCAGCCTGTGTGAATTCAGGGGGAGAACCACAAGGCAAAGGAACCATTTCTGAAGACACCAGCAAGTGCCTCTCTGCTGAAGAGCATCAGAGACTTGTTTGAGGACAAACACACTGAATGGTTCCAAACAGATCAGATGCCCCGGTGCTGTAGACTTCTCATCCCACTGTTGTGTGATCTTAATGAAAAAGGGGTAAGACTCCACCAAAGCACAAAAACACTAGAGATGTGAAACCTTTCAAGTCTGAGTGACGTGGAGAAATAAACCCCCAGCGTCACAGGCAACGTGCAAGCCTGGGGACCACGCAGTAGTGAGGATTCAACACACCATCAGTGGAAAGGGTGACAACTTAACAGTAGCCCACAGGTAAAAGCAAATTGAGAGTTGATTACCGTTCCCTTCCCGTGGGGTCCCTGAATCCGTGAATAAAGTGCTCATGATTTTTTCAAAGTTACAGCTCGGCTCCACGTTCTCGGGATCTTCAGCAAAGTGTTTCAGCATCTCTCGAAGAACATCATCCAAAGAGGTGGCCGTTTCATCGAGGATTATGCTGGCTCTGGCCAAAAATCCATCCAGGTCTCGGTGGGCTCTAACTTCCTCCTCAAAATTCTTTAATTTCAGGTACTGCATTAAGAAGAGGTCAGAGCATTAGACAACAGCTATACACAACACCTGACAGCAAGGGCTTTAGACATCTGTAGTTCACAAGCAATTTTGGTGAGGTTAATGCCACCCAACCAATGATTCTGGAACCACTGGGACCATTCAGATCACATTACACAAGTTTTATGGATTGATGCATTAATGCACTGAAGGTTTGTATTTTCAAAGCTTATCCTAACAGAGTGCCCATAAGTAAATGCCTAGGCACCATTTTTACTCTGATAGAGAAAGAAGTTAAAAAAAAAAATATATTTTTTTCCCTAGGATAAATCATGTAAGTCAGCCTAAAAGCAAAAATGCTTAAGGTAACACTTAAAATCCTCTTTAGGTTTAAATAATTCAAGAATTTTGCAGAAACATGGAAAAAGTTGCTTAGAAGAAATAGACTCTGAGCTCAGCAGCATGAAGAAATTACCAGCATGCATCTCAGTGCAACCTAACCCAGTTCTTCTCAAACTGGGAACCGTTTCTCCCCAGTGCTCCCAGTTAGGGAGCCTGAAGTGGGAGCTGGGGAAGGCCACTCAGCCCATCACTTTTTCTGGCACTTGCTAAATCTCAATTGTTCCCACTCCCAAGGAATTTTTCTTCTTTTGTGTGTTATATTTAGTTCTGAATCAATGAGGGGGAGAGGAAAAAAAAAAAAAAGAAAACAGAGGCTGAAACTGTCTCAACTCTTTGCTGGCTTCCTCTGCTGTCTCACACCTGTTGGCCATGAGATGGAAGAAACAGACATGCTGTAGCATAGAACCTCTGCTCCTTTCTGTGTCTGTCAGCTGTGAAGTTTTCTACTTGAACAAAATCAAACCACAAAGGCATTGTTCCCATTTTACAGTCCTCAGAAATCCACACACACAGCAGTGGTGGTCAAGAAAGGCTGACCTGTCCTCTCCTTCAACAGCTTAAGGCTGAGGAAATGGGAACTGCATTTTTGTAACGTGGATCTTCCTTCTGATGGGAAACCAGCCAGGCTTGAATTCTTGATGTGGAAGACCACATTGTCAAGTTACATTTAAACCCTCGGTTCCCCTTGAGATCAGTAAGAATCAAGCTCTGAACTGCTTTTACAAATCCAACACCAAGCTGCCCCCACAATCAGAACCTTGGCATGTTCTCCCCCAACCTACAGGGTCATCCTAGATCCTGACTCATGGATCCCCTCCTCTCACACATACTCTACTTTTTCCATTTATAGCCCAGACATGGTGGTTAAAAAAAAAAAAAGCTAACATCACACTAATTACTGTAATTATCATGGCAACTATCAAGTTGTCAGTACACATCCATTGCAATTAGCACTGTTTTACTTTGCATCAATCACTTCTTACGAAGCCTCCTTCAGAGGGAGGATTCTCTGAAGGATTTTGGCTCCCACCTCCAAAGCTTTTGTCACCATCTGCTCTCAGGAGAGGAGACAGTGACACAGCATGTTACAACCCCACCTAAAAAAACACCGTGTAACTGCAAGCAGCCAAGTAAGTCTTGAATTATCCCTGCGTGAGAGCAGGTTAAAACACCTGTAACACCTGTTCATAACACCGTTCCATGAGGTCACCATATGATGACCAGCCACATCTCAAAGGTTAACTCCTTTCAGCTTGTCTGGCGTGCTGAGTCTGACCTAGGATGTAGGTTCAATCAGCAAAGAGGCCAAATGACCCACACAGGATTTAACAGAGTGGATGGCAGAGGAGGTATGAGGAAGGTTAAGACCATCAGAAGTGCACAGTGTCACTGCTGGAGCTTTCATAAACGTAGGTTCAATCAGCAAAGAGGCCAAGTGACCCACACAGGATTTAACAAAGCGGATGGCAGAGGAGGTACGAGGAAGGTTAAGACCATAAGTGCACAGTGTCACTGCTGGAGCTTTCATAACAGTCGCTTCACGTCACCAACTTCTCCCACGTGTGAGAAGCCACCAGAAGCAGAAGAAGGAGGTTGAGAGGTAGCTGAGGGATAGCAGAAACTAATCAAAGGCATTCAGAAGAGGGCTTGTATATGCCCACATCATCTCAATCAACACTCATTCTCCGGCAAGCCGTGCGTAACAGCATCATTTGTTGTTGTGGCAGGACAGCGCAGCCAGCAGCTTACTGCAAGTCATGGATTCAGCTCCAGCTCTGCCATAGCCTTCAGGCAATGCCTTGGGTCAATAACTCTCCATGCCTCAGTTCTGTTTTACTCCCCTGCTCCTGATCCTCTATAGCAAATAGGAGGAATACCCATCCTTATTATCACTCCCATAACACTGGGGAAGATATACATGCTAAACATGGCAAAGCAACTCGCTACATAAATCACTCTGAGACAATCAAAATCAAATTAGTGGAAGCACTGGTACAGCAACACCTTGGAGATAGCTCAAACAGAACCGTTCCAGACAGGACACCCAATGGTTTCAGGAGAGATTAATGATTGCTCCTTCACAAATATTTTTAGCTAGTCCAAGTCATACCAGGATACTTGATGCTGGAAACTGCTCAGCAAGAAATCCAAGACAGTTACACCCAATCACCATTTTAACAGCACTGAGTAGCCTCGATTGCAAAGCTGCACGTTCCATCATGGCAAGAACTGAGGCAGTTGTGTCAAAGAAAGGGGAAACAATCTGCCTCAACTTCACGCAAGTCTCTTAGCCAAGGTCACATGCACTATCTGTGCAAAAAAAGAGCTCTCGACACTCACCAAGAATGCCCAAAAATGCAAGTTCTCTGCCGGGTGGCTCTTCTGGAGACCACCTCCACTTTACAAGCACTGCAAGAACCTTACAAGAAGGGATAACCAAAGAGTATGTCGTCCTGAGCAGAGCTCTACCTGTGCTGTTCCCACAGTCACTCAGGCCAATTCCCTCAGAAACACACAGTGACAGTGATTAAATCATTCCAACTGTGTCAAGAAACTGCTTCTTATTTATGGCTACCAAGCGCCATGCCAGATAGCAGCTGTCCAAGACACAGATGGCCACTCCAGTGCTCCTGAAGGAGTGCATGAAGCCCAGGCTTCCACCAGAGAGTAGGACAGGTTAGCAGGGAGACATCTCCAGGCAAAGCTCCTGACCTGACTAATTTTCTGCTAGCAATTGCCCCTTTCCAGACACTTGGAGCCATCTCCTTTGTGACTCAGGTCCCAATTCCCTTCATATTCAAAGCATAAAATTTCCACTCGTCCTCCCTGGAGGCAAAAACTGGCAATAGCATCTTGCCTGAAGCCCTGCTAAAACATGCTAGCTCTCTGGTATTTGTTGCTCAACACGCTAAAATGCTCAAGCATGAACTCTAGGCTAGAAAAGCAGGAATCTTAGAGCTCTGGAAAGGAAAAATAAAATAGAAGAGACACTTGATGCATTAGCAGTTTCCAAGTATTTCTTATCAGAGTCAGATCCCACATTTGGGCTTAGAACTTGCACTTTAAGTGATTAAGTTCTTAGGTTACTTTCAGTCAAGTGCATACAGCTCTAAGAACCTTGGCACTAATAGTAGGCAAGAAAAATTGACAAAGACATTTCCATTCCTAAGGACAGAAGAGCTTGTTTTAACTTCTCTGACTTAATATCAAACAATGTTTAATTTGTTATTGTTGGTGGTGGGTTTGCTTGGAGTATTTTGATTGGTTTTCGGGTAGCTTTGTTTGTCTGTTGGTATTTTATTATTTTTTTAACTTTAGCAGAAGTTTTCTTCTACTAGAGCTATTACACATTTTCCTCCCCTTACTAATTGAGCCTGCTAAGATACCTTTTGACAATTTGAGCTGTCTTAGAGACCTAAAGCAAATCAGAGTTAAAGAGCTCTCAGATTCCCTAGAAAGCCCCAAAGGCTTTAGTACACAGATTTAAGAACCCAAGAGACAACCTTCAAAGAAGCCTGCGGCACATAAATTACCAGGATGAGCAATGCTACACGTTTTCACGCAGCCAGCCCCTCCAACTGGCCGATGACACACAAGTCAAGACAACGCGAAGCACCACAAGCTCTCCCTCACATCCCCAAAGATCAAAACTTCACATGGTATTAAACATCTCTGAATACTCTCTGGGTACTTTCACAGCTGGAGGTTTGTAGTGATACAGCCTGTGCAAGGTGGATTTTTTTTTGCGTTTTCACCTTATGATTACTGAGTTATGGCCTCAAGAGCCAGCGTAAACTAAGCGTTGTTTCCTAATCATCTTCCTAGACTACGTGTTTCCAGGGAATTCAAAAAACCCCGTGAAGGCAGATCTGATTAGCTAGAATAAACAGGAAACCAAATCACAGCAAAGTCTATTGGGTGGTTTCTGCTTTTGGCTCAAGAGTAGCTCACAGCAGCCTGAATCTCTATGGTGTCTGCTTGGATCCCTTCACAGGCAGCTACAGAAGAGCAAGTGATGAGTTAACAGGTCAAGGAATTGCCTGGGACAAAAAAAGCAGCGGAACATCAAGAATTAAACAGAAATTGTTTGGAGAACGACTTGTGGCTTTCCGTTTAAAAGACAGATAAATGAATTCAAGAGGCATTAATATGCCCATAAAAAACATCTCCACACCCCCAAGAGTCTTTCAAGAGTCTTTCAAGATCCTTTTCTCTGCTTCTAGATGATGAAAAAAATAAACTGATCAGACAGCACTTCTACTTACCTTCCTTGATGTGTGCAGTAACACGCAGCCAGTACCTTCACTTTCAGCTAGAAAGGGGGGAAAAAAAAAAAAAAAGTCAGAAAAGTGTCACAAGTATTGCAGATACCTGACAAGCAGCATGAACCAAACAGAAGGCTTGGAACAGAGTGAAGTATCACTCTCTTGGCAGAGGATGATCTGCAGTCTCAATTTTTACAAGATATCCCATTTTGGAAGTGTACTCAAAGTGTAGAAGCAGCCTTTGGCATTACCTGATCAGTTGGGGTTTGTGTGTGGTAGCTTTTTGTGTTTGTTTTTGGTTTTTTTCCTTCAAATTTCCTACGCATTTTTACTCTTCACTTCTCCCTCTGCATCCCTCAAAAAAACCCCACATCTAACTCCTAATCCTTCAGGTAATCATTTAATCCAATGCATCGTTGTTTGATAGATTGAGGCTAAAAATTGCATGAGTCACACTCGTTTAGAAACCATTCTTGTCCTCATTAAAGAGTCAACAATAACACCCAGGCACTTCCAAGGGAGTGGGCTGCAAAAGATCACACGCAGCGACTCGAAGATGAGCACATTAATGTCCTGTCAACTCACCACGCTGCCGCCATAAATCTAAGCGTAAAGCAACAGAGCTCTTGAGAAAGAAGACTGCTGTTTAGAGGCTATTAAATGTCACTTAATAAGCAGCTGAGATACAGGGACACGGGAACCCAGGAAGTTCCCAGTTCAAATTTCCAGCATGACCATTTTCTTAGAATAGTCATGAAGCAATTTTTAAGGTATAAGCTAAAAAACAAATAAAAACCCAGTTGGTTTTGCCATAAGCCCGACCTATACTGCTTGCATCCAAGGCAGCTTCTCAGTAGCATCACTAGTACCACAAGTATAGTCTGGTAATCCTTCTCCTCAAATTATATTCACGCTGTCCAAAAAAAAACAAAAACAAAAAAACCAACAAATCACTCAACCCCAAAAAAACCACAAACCCCAACCCCAGAAGACCCAGTTGCTACCAAAACTACATACGAACCACATGAACACTTTTCATTCAAATGAGCATAGCGACAGCATGGAAAAAACCCACTGAAGACCAACAACTTTTCCAGAGGCCAAGCTGTGGAAAAGTACTGAGACATAATGTGGAGCTACAGCTATTCAGGTGAGGTTTTTGCTTCCTTTCCAGATCTGGACTTCCAAATCCTAACTTATGAGAACTATTGCAATCTCATTTTGCAGGCTGACCACACACAGGGCACCTTCAAGCCCAGTCCAGCTACTCTCCAAAAACTAAGACGATCGACGATGCAATTCACACAGAAACACCAGAACTCCAAAGAGGCAATTATTTTTTTTCGCCCACGGAAAGCTGCTTCAACCAAAACCATCCCTGATCAAGCAGGAATTCAAGTCACGCCCACGATGGGGTTAAAAGGCTGCGACTCAGACTATTAAGCAGAGTTGACTGCGGTAGAGAAGAGGGAAAGGATTGCCTCTGTCTCCCAGCAAATGAAGTAAGGTGGTTCAGAGGCTTTGGTTACATCCCTCAACCTCTCCCAACGTGATGCTGTACACGTGATTAAAAGCATCACTTAACTAGACAAGTCTGCTGGTGCAATGGTCCCAATTATTGCTGCTTTTGACACATCTTTTGGAAAAGGCAAGCTGTTTCATCTAAAAAATGCTATTTATTATTAAAAAGCAAGCACCCAAATAAACCAGAAACATCAAGCGTTTTCCCTGGGCTCTTACATTTGTAGTTCTCCAGCGCTCACTTTACTCAATTTACAGCCTAATTACACATGCAAAACTATGCTGGAAGATTTGGAAGCCATAAATATTCATTGAGGAGAAAACATGTTTTGGTTTTCGTGCTCTTGCAAAAAATAGTTCTGGAGAGACAAAAAAAAAATACCCACAACGCTGAACAATAGCAAGCACGTGCTAAAAAGAAATACCTGCATATCTGCAGTCTGTCCTTATGGATACATGCAAATGCAACAGAAATTCATGTTGTCCTTTTATCACGCAGCAACGCGCTTCCTCTTATCAGTCTCAAGCACGTATCAATCTTCTCTGCTGACAGCTCTCTCAGGTACTCATCTTGGATGAGCACCAAGTGCTGCTTTATCAACACAAGTGAAAACATTTAATTACATCTGTTGGACCAGGATCTTTCAAAATTTCTCAGGGGAAAAAAAAAAAAGTTGTTTTGGAAGGCCCAGAGCCTCATCCATCATTTCCGCCAACACAGGACTCGGACTCAATTCAGGAAAGGAGACAACTGGAGTTCTGTAACATGAATGGTAACAAATCCACTGGACCATCAAAAATAGGGGGGAAATACGGAAACTTCCTAAATGCTCTTCTGTCTGGCTGATGAACCACGCATTTGCATTCTGCAAGAGATCTCACCTGGCAATGTGGGGTAGAACCCTGCGCGGTGGTGTTGGGTTGATAGTTGGACTACATGATCTTTGAGGTCTTTTCCAACCTTAATGATCCTATGGGGTGGTCCATGACACATCCACCAGGGGGGAACTTGGCTGAAGCCCAAGACCAAACACCTCCAGCCTGTCACCTATTTTCTCCTCCTTCATGGCTTACATCCACTTATGGAGGGGCTGAAGAGATGCAACACCTTTGACTCTTGCACCTCCACAGAGGAGTCTTTCGAGGGGACAAAACAGACAGAAAACTATGGATTCACCTTTGCTGACAAGGAAGAAACTATCCATCAATCATCAGTTACATCTCACAACCAAGAGTAATAACTAGATTTCCCACCTGAATGTCAGGATTAAGCACGCTTCAGCAGAAAGAAGAGGTCAGGGCCACGTAAAGTTTTCATTTTTATTTTCATAGTCCTCCTTGCTGGACAAAGCAGGCTGCAAAAGCCTATTTTAGGCGAGCTAACTGGTTACGGGCATTATTCGCTCTGTCTTCACATACAGTTAAAGGACAGCTGCCAGGGGTGGCCAGCCTTATCTGTTAGGCTCTGCGCCAGGTCCTGCCCAGGGGAAAACCAAAAAGTCAGCAACGCATCTCCGACATCCCCTGGCAGCCACATCAAGGCGACACGCATATCCCGAATTTTGAGGACGCGTGCACCCAAGCACGCAGCGTTACTGAAAATGCTACAAGCGTAGCTTGGAGTTCACTTCAGTTTTAGCAACACTGAAGACGTGCCAATGTCAGACTTACACCACTGGCCTTGTGTCGGCACATTCAGAGCCCTGCCAGGGCACTGTGGCATGCCTCCTATTTTTTTTTTTTAAATTTCTCACACATTTACAAGAACAGAATCCATCCAGCTTCAACAAGGAGATTTCATACTTGGAAGCAGCAGGAAATTTATTTGCTGTACTCCAAGGGCAGCCTGGCTTCCCTTTACATAACGCCCCAACAGCAACCCAGAGAAACAAAATCCTCCGGCTCGCTTCCCCTTCCAACTCCGTTCAGAATATTGACATCCATGCAAGGACAACCCTGAAAACAAACTCATGAAAGTCATATCCCAAAGTTTAAGGCTTTGCACCTTTTGCCTTAAAGAGATCTCCTTGCACTTAAGATTCCCTTTCCCTGTGCAGGTCCCCAGTGCTGCCCTTAAACACCCAAGAAGACCCAAGTCTTTGGAGTGAAGGCATCACGGAATATCTGCAGCATCTTAAAATCACATTTTCCTTCACAATAAAGGAGTGGAAATTGGGGAGCAGAAACCTTTTTTGGCTCTGCATGTGTCAGGGCATGTTACTTAAGATCTACAAGCACTCCTCAGTGCATCTGCACAGTAAATAGGCTAAAAGCAGAATATCACATTAGCACGTCCATGGCTTTCTCCACAAAAAAAAAAAATAAAAAAAATATCAAGGATGGTAGCAAAAGTATTTAAAGTTTAGGAGGGGTTATTATCTAAAAAAGAAATGAAAAAGTTATTTTATCTACGCTTTCTTTAGGGAGCTGAGAAAATCTAAGCCTCAACCACTTGTGTCGAACCACACTGCGAGCAGCAAAAAGCCATTCTACTTTTAAAATTGTTGCCTTAAAATAAATAAATAAAAACATATCAGCACATGGCACAACAGGAACTTGTTATGAGTGGGGCGACAGCTCTAATTTGCCACTGGCAGTGAGGGACTGCACAAGGAGGATTCTTTAGGGGATCCTTTACTTTGCCGCCCATCCACAGCTGTGCCAAGTCTGGACTCATCCCCAGACTTGAGTAATTTAGGTTAAATATTGTTAAAATATACAATTGTGCCCTGACTATCCCACATTCCCATGACAGGGTGGTGTGCTGAGCTGTGGCAGAAAACCTAAAATCAGCTCCTAACCTAATCCCCAGGTGAAACGCAGGGAAGGAATAAGCGACAAGCTGCAAGATTCTGGAGCAGGCAGGGCATGGAGGAAAAATCTCACCTGGGTCACACTCAGCAGGGACATCACACCGGCCGGCCAGGTGAATGTCTACGGCCACGCACTCCTCCCTGGCCATTGCAGAGGAATTGGAAAGAGAGACAGAGAGCACAGACAGCCTTGCCCAGGGCTCTTATACAGAGCCAGGGATAAGATAAGAGTGCTGTGTCACTTGTCACACAGCCCCAACTCCTCAGGCACGCACGCAATACAAAAGCAAAATTTTTTGCTTTTTCCTTTTTTTTTAAAAAAAAAAAAAAAAAAGAAAAAAGCTGAAACAAGTTTTGTCATTAAGTTTGCAGCGGCGAGGGGGAAAAAGGTGCGTTTTTCCACGCCGAAAAGTTTCCAAACCCTGGGGGGCAAACCCAAGGTGAAGCATCTTAAAGCGAGAAAGCTGCTTTCGTGCAGAACCACCCGATGCTACCCAACCCCCTCGCCTCTCCTGCACCTCCCGTGGCTTCGTAAGCACCGCTTTGAAAACCCCCTCGGTCAGGAAATTCGGAGGGAGGTCATCTCTCCCCCCACCCCTTCGGCGACACAATCGGTGTATCCACTTTCCATTAGAATATAGGAAGCTTCGGGAGCCCAACATCCCACGCTGACATCAAACTGCTAAAACAGGAGTTATCAGATGGAACGCGTGGGTCAGCATTGTGCCTCGAGACATAAAAAGGACCTTGGTATTAATGTGAGGAAATGTGACTATTGTGTGCAGAATGATACCCATTCAGGCCCAGACCACTTGTCTCTGGACGCTACTCTCCCTGGAATATCCTTGGCGCCAGCATCTAGCGATTCTCCTCATCCCCTTAAAGTTTAAAAAAAAAAAAAAAAAAAAAAA